GATTTTACGGGTCTATGAAATATTGAGTCAAATCTTCTCAAAGTTGTTTATCAAGTTTCTTATTTTTTTCAAAAAATCAGTACCAAGAATACGGAAATATCGAATTAGAGATAGGCATTATTGAAGAGTGTTTTAAGATTGTAAAGTCTTCTTTAGTCCACTCATTTAGATTCGCTGGCAAATTGGAATTCTGAGAATTTCCCCATTTGATAATAAATTCCCAAATTTTGACTTCTTTCGAGGAGAGAAATCAATACAGATTCTTGAATAGAAGTGAATCTTCAAAAATAAGATTTGGATATTTTGCAATAATGTCAATGCAAATTTGTTCCAAATCTTTGAGATTATTTCCAGTAAAACTTGAATTATAAATTAGAGAAAAATGAGTCCTTAACCAAGAACTTTTAGTTTCAATAAGAAAAGATTTCAATTCCTCGGTCAATTCTTCTAACTCAAATTCATTAGCCACTATAAGTAAATCAAGAATAAATTTTGTTTCAGCAGTCTCTAAATTAATAATTCCACCATAAATGTATATTGCGAAATAATTAAAAGTTTAGTTAATTTTATTGTTGAATAGAAATAAAACTCACTTTAAAAATAATATCAAAATTTCAAGATTTATTAATTATCTTGATATTGTTCTCATTTGGAGTAATATTTTCTAATTCTAAACGAAAATAAGTTGACTGATACTTCAATATATTAGAATGAGCTGTAAAGGATTTCATATTATTAACTTCAATGATTACATTGTAATCGTCTTTATCATTAAGAAGTTCGATGAAATTTTGTGATAATTTTTCAAAAAATTTAAGACTTTTTTTTTTATAAATTTTGTTAATTGTGAAAAAGGGGAAAACACGATTTTCCGCAGTATATTTATTGTTATAATATAAACACTATGCCATTTTTTATCCAATTAAAATTTAAATGGTTATGGATTTAATTAATATAAAAATATCGATACAAATTTAATAAAAAAATAATCACATAAATATATGTATACAGTATTCAATTTCCTATTGAATTTTCTTAATAACCTGGAACACTTCATAATCAACGATTGAAAATTCATTTGTTGATGTTCTTAACGATTTTCCATAATCATAACAATTTTTATCAACACATTCGTCATTCAAAGTAAAATCAGAAATAGAACTATACATGTAAAGGTTGTCCCCAAAACAGGGTCCCCAATTTTTTTGATCACCTTTGCTAACAATCCTAATTGCATACTGAGGCCTCTTGACTCTATTAAGAATTGAATTTTGTGTATTATCATTTTTCAATAAGAAAATAAAGCTATCATTTGTTTCTGCCCAATTATTATTATTATTTGTACTATCCCAAGCTAAAGGATTGTATCCTCCAAGGATTTCGTCTGTTCCTTTCACTTTCATAACCACCACAGTGTTAGAATAACCGTGACATGTGTCCCAAAAAGTTTGAGGTGTAAATCCATCGATACTTCCTCGTAAAATTAATTCAAACTTATGTGAAATATTTATTAAAGAATAAGTTCTTAAGCTACGATCAATCCAAGAGGAAATTTCAGCAGCGTGTTCACTAGTAATGATAACCGAATTTAAAATTAATCTTGCTGGTAAATTAATTGATTTTACGGGCTGGTCTGGAGCTATGAAATGCTGTTTTAGATCATCCCAAAGCTGTTTATCAAGAAGTTTCTTGCAAGGCTTTACTTTATTCCAAATATCAGTACCAGGAATATGGAAATATCGAATTAGAGGTAGGCATTTTTGAAGAGTAGTTTTTAAAGTTAAAAAGTTTTCTTTAGTCCAATCATTGAGATTCGCTGGTAAATTAGAATTCTGAGCATTTCCCCATTTGATAATATATTCCCAAATTTTAACTTCTTCTAGTTGTAAATCATCTCTTTCGAGGACAGAAATCAATGCAGATTCTTGAATAGAAGTGAAATCTTCAGCATCAAAAATGAGACTTGGATACTTTACAATAATATCATTGCAAAATTTTTTCAAATCTTTGAAATTATTTCCAGTAAAAATTGAACGGTAAACTAAAGAAAAATGAGTCCTTAACCAAGAACTTTTAGTTTCAATTAGAAAAATTTCTAGTTTTTTGGTTAATTCATCGATTTCAAATTCATTAGCGGCCATCATCAAATCAAAAATAAACTTTGTTTCTGCATTCTCTAAATTAACAATCCCACCATAAATATATCTTTATGAAATAATTAAAAGTTTAGTTAATTTTATTAATTTTATTATAAATAATAAAATTTTTATTGTTGAATAGAAATAAAACTCACTTTAAAATAATATCAAAAATTCTATAAGAAATATTTGGTTTATTAATTATCTTGATATTATTCTCGTATTGAGTAATATTTTCTAATTCCAAACGAAAATAAGTTGACCGATACTTCAATATATTAGTATGAGCTGTAAAGGATTTCATATTCTTAACTTCGATGACTACATTGTAATCATCTTTATCATTAAGAAGCTCGATGAAATTTTGTGATAATTTTTCAAAAAATTCAAAAGTCATTTTTTAGCAAACTTTGAAAAAGAATACCGTGGGAAAATTTTTTTTAAATTATAACATTGCATTATTGCATGTATGGAATTTTCGCAGTAGTTATAACCTGCCGTTATGTTATCCAATTAAAATATTAGGATTTAATAAATTCAATTTATTTATTTAATAAACATAAACGTAAAAACTATCCAGACAGATATAAATTTCTTATTAAATTTTCATAATAACATGGAACACTTCATAATCAACAATTGAAAAATTATTAAAATCATTTGTTGATGTTCTTAAAGATTTTTCATAATCGGCACAATTACCATCAATGCATTCACTATCCGAAGTAAAATCATAAATAGAACTATACATACAAAGGTTATTCCCAAAACAGGGTCCCAATTTTTTTGATCACCTTTGCTAATAATCCTAATTGCATAATGAGACCTCTTGACTCTATTAAGAATTGAATCTCGCTTATCACCATTTTTAAATAAGAAAATAAAGCTATCATTTGTTTCTGCAAAATTACATCTTTCTGTTCTATCCCAAATTAAAGGATTGTATCCTCCAAGGATTTCGTCTGTTCCTTTCACTTTCATAATTACCACAGTGTTAGAATAACCACCACATTTATCCCAAAAAGTTTGAGGTTCAAATCCATTGATACTTCCTCGTAAAATTAATTCAAACTTATATGGAATATTTAATAAAGAATAAGTTCTTGATCGACGATCAATCCAAGAGGAAATTTCAATCATGTGTTCCAAAGTTGTTTATCAAGAAGTTTCTTGTAAGGTTTGACTTTATTCCAAATATCAGTACCTGAAATATGGAAATATCGAATTAGAGGTAGACATTGTTGAAGAGTCGTTTTTAAGGTTGTAAAATTTTCTTTAGTCCACTCATTAAGGTTTGCGGGTAAATTAGAATTCTGGGCATTTCCCCATTTGATAATAAATTCCCAAATTTTGACTTCTTCCGGATGTAAATCATCTCTTTTGAGAATAGAAATCAATACAGATTCTTGAATAGAAGTGAAATCTTCAAAAATAAGATTTGGATAGTTTGCAATAATGTCAATGCAAAATTGTTCCAAATCTTCGAGATTATTTCCAGTAAAAATTGAATTATAAACTAGAGAAAAATGAGTCATTAACCAAGAACTTTTAGTTTCAATAAGAAAAGATTTCAATTCCTTAGTCAATTCTTCTAACTCAAATTCATCAGCTGCTATAAACAAATCAATAATAAATTTTGTTTCGGAAGTCTCTAAATTGACAATTCCACCGTAAATATATCTGATCAAATAAATAAAATAAATTATCAATTTATATAATTCATTATTATTATCTCATTATTGAATAACAATAACTTACTTAAGAATCATATCAAAAATTCCATCAGAAATATTTGGTTTATTAATTATCTTGACATTATCTTCATTCGGATGGATTCTTTCCAATTCCTTACGAAAATAAGGTGATCTACACTTAAGTAAATTAGAATTCGCTGTAAAAGATTTCTCATTCTGAACTACAATGATTACAATACTATTATCTTTATCATTAAGAGATTCAATAAGATCTTTTGATAATTTATTAAAAAATTGAAATGTCATTGTGTCTTTGTTTTTTTTTTTTGAGGAGGAAAAAAAAATAAGATCATGTACATATGTTAATTATAAAATGACCGCAGTAGTTCCTCAACGTGACGTGAGATGATCTTACATAAATTTGATTAGTGAATCGGATAAATCGGTGTACGACCACGAATAAGGAATATGTTACTTTTTTTGCACCTTTCTTTTTTTTTAATTTTCTTTTTAAATTATTTTTTTAAAACCAATTTTAATAATTAATAATATAATCATATAACATATAGTGTTACCAAAAAAAATAATGACTTTATATCAAGATATTCTTACGCAAGTATTTAATTGCATTTTAGATGATGCTCGAATTAAATTATCAGAAAGAATAACCAATTTATATTCATGTATTTTGGTAAATCATATTTGGTGTACAACGGGATATCAAATATTATGGAAAGCACCATTTTCCCTTTTACATAAATTACCTTGTACTCGAGAACGTTATTCATCACTGATATCCACTTATTTAAAATGTTTATCACCAGAAGATAAAATTCAATTTATGGAATTACGAATTCCTATGAATTTAATTTCTGTCTATTCCCCATATTTCAATTATTCAATGGTATTAAAGAATTTTTCATATATTGAATATCAACATTCAATATTTCACTGGACCCAAATGAATTTATCTTCAGATTTAGAAGATGATGAAACTTTTATTTCCAATCATGATTTTGTTTCAAATATTCTTACCAAACACTTTATGCAAATTACTCAACTTAAACAAATTGAATTTCTTGAATTTGATCATAATAATATTAATAATAATAATAATAATCATCATCATTTAAATTTAAATTCATTAAATTCTTCCAATTGTTCATTTATGAAATTTTCACCTAAAAATTCAATTTATGATTTAACAAAATTACCTGGAGCCAATAATTTTTTTGGAAATATTACTAGTCTTTCAACTTATAAGATATTAGATTCAATAATATTAGAAGGATTAGCAAAAATATGTCATTCAATTAAGGATATTTATATTAATTGTGATGAAACAAATTATGAAGGTTGGTCAACTTTATTAAATTCCCAAAGTAATTTACTTCATTTAAAAATTAGAACAAAAAATACCAATATTCCTTTAATTAAAAATGCATTAATGAACAAAGTAAATACATTAATTTCTTTATCACTTATACCAATTTGTTTATCAATGAACATTTTTATAAATTGTCCGAATCTTCATGAATTGGAAATAATGGAAAATCCAAATTTCGTACCAAATAATGAATTATATCAATTTTTATCAGTAATATTTCCTAATCTTGAATTTTTATCAATTAAATTATTAAATTCATCAATTTTATTTCCTTATTTTTCAACATTCATTCAAAATCATAGTAAAACTTTAAAATATTTGTCAGTCACATGTTTCCAAAAACATTTATTAATTAAACCGGATTATTTATTAACATATAGTACAATGTTAATAGAATTTTGTTCAAATTTATTAGAATATATAGGACCAATTTCAATTAAACATATTTCATCATTATTTGATCAATGTTCAAATTTATATAGAATAAGTTTATTAAGTAATGATCATTATAATATTAGTATTTGTTCAGAATTAGAAGAGATTGGAAATTTATTACCAAAAAATTTGGTGAAACTTAAGATTCCAAGTGAATATAAATTTACAGCCAATTCTTTGGAACGATTTTTACAATGTTGTGAAGATAAATTGGTAAAAGAATTGGAATTGGATATTTCAAGATATTCTCTTGACTTACAAATTATTCTTGAGAAATATAGGATGAAAGGTGTTTTGAATAAAATTTGGGTAAATATATATATTTATTTATTTTTTTTTTATATTTATTTTTATATTTTATGATTATTATAAAAATACTACTAACATATCAATATCTATTACTACATTGCTTATATTTCCTGTAATGGTATTTCTATTTAAATATTTTGGTGTATAAAAAAATTTAAAAGTTTTGATTATTTTAATTCTTGATTAAGGTAATTCTTTTCTTGATAAGTCTTTTTTTTTTCTTCTTTTCAGATATTTGTATTCTTGTTTGATATTATTTTTTTTATTGTATATTTTTTTTTTATTATTATGTGTGTTTTGTAAATTTTTGTGTGTATTTTATATTCGATATATTCAATAATATTATATATATTAAAATTGCTTAAATTAAAATATTCAAAAGTATAAAAACTTTAGACAAAAAAAAATTATAAAATAAAATTAAAGTGTCTTTTTGAAAAATTATAAAATATTATATATATATATATATATATCACTTTAATCTATTTGTATTGTCATAAATTTACAGAATTTGAGAAAGAAAAATGAATAACTAATAAACAAAAGTTTTAATGATACTAAAAAATCAAATAAACCATTCTTGAAATTATTTACCAGTCAAGTTACAATTTAAACATATTTGACTTGAGACAAATAGTTCGCAACAGTTAAGTTATTATAAAAGGTAAAGAAATTATTATAAATTAAATTCAGCGCTATAACTAAAAGAAAAGATGTATTTAAGAAAATTTTTTTTTTTTACAGTACTAGATATAAAATAAATTTCTGCATTATGTAATAATAGTGTTCCAAAAACAGGCGAAATTTTTATTATCAGATTTACCTCTCTTAGGAAATCATTCCGTTATATAATATATCGATTGAATAATAATATTATTTAATATTTCATTATGCAAGTTTTTTTTTACAAATAAAATTCAACAACATATTAGAATGATATTTAAAATAAACATAACAATAATATTTTAAATATATATAGGAGTCGTTATGTTCAATTGGTAATGGGACCTGCTGGTTCCGGAAAGGTACGTCTCGTTTTCTTTTAATTTTCTCGGAATAACTTTTCACATTACTTCTCACTAACTACTTCTCGTTATTTTTCACTCGTTATTCCTTGCTCGTTACTCCATACTCGTTACTCCTTACTCGTTACTCCTTACTTGTCATTTCTCACTCGTTACTTCTTACACGTTACTTCTCACTCATTCATAACTTCTCTTTCGTTGCTTATTATTGTCAACAGTCTACCTATTGCGCTACATTAATGACGCATTGTCAAAATATTGGACGAACAGTACATTTAATGAATCTTGACCCAGCAGCAGAAAAATTTGAATATGATCCATCAATAGGTATTTTTTATCAATTATAGTTCTTTAATTTGAATAATTTTATTAAATAATATTAAATTAAATTTGAAATAATTTAAATTGATTGATTAATAAAAAAATTATTTAGATATTCGAGATCTTATCACATTAGAAGATGTTATGGATGAATTACAGTATGGACCTAATGGTGGTCTTATATATTGTCTCGAGTAAGTTTACAATTAAAGTAATTTATTTATTTAATTTATTAATTTATTAATGTATTTATTTTTATAATTCTTTATTTATTTATTTTTATTATTTTATATTTTTAAAGATTTTTATTAAATAATATAGATTGGTTAGAAGATGAATTAGGAGAATATGAAAATGATTATTTGATCATTGATTGTCCAGGTATTTTTATTTTATTTTATTATTATTATTATTATTATTATTAAATTTTGTCATCGTCAAGCTAAACAATATTATAATATTAAAATAAATCTAATATAAATATAATTTATTTAGGTCAAATAGAACTTTACACACATTTCCCAATAATGCGTCGTATTTGTGAATGTTTACAACGATTAAATTTTCGTATTTGTGGAGTATATTTATTAGAAAGTCAATTTATAGTGGATAAAGCAAAATATTTTGCTGGGGTATTAAGTGCGACTTCTGCTATGATTAGTTTAGAAATCCCTCACATAAATGTATTATCTAAAATGGATTTATTGGAACCGATTAAAAAGAAAGAATTGAAAAGGTATTTTATTTCTTATTTTATTATTTATTTTATTTAGTTATTTTTATTATTTATTTTAAATTATTTATTTTATTATTTATTTTATTATTATTTTATTATTATTTAGATATTATGATCCAGATCCAACATTATTAGAAGAAGAAGCGAATGCATCCATGAATTCAAAATTTCATAATTTGAATCGTGCAATTGTACAATTAGTGAATATCTATTAATATTTTATTACATTATTTACATTTATCTTTAATTTATATATTTTTACTTATCATTAATTTTAATTTCTTTTGCATGATAATTTCTGAAAATTTTATTTTCACAGATAGAAGATTATAATATGGTTAGTTTTATTCCACTAAATATCAATAATGAAGATTCTATAACAGCAGTACTATCACATATTGATAATGCAATACAATATGGTGAAGATCAAGAACCTAAAGAACCAAAGGTAAATATTTTATATGTGTATGTTTATATGTAGGGAATACATTATTCATTTATTTAGTTTTATTTATTTTATTTATTTATTATTTTATTTATTTTCTGTTTATTTTATTTATTTATTTGTTTATTTATTTATTTATTTATTTATTCATTTTATTAGGATGAAATTGAAGATTTTGAGGATTTTGAAGGATATTAAGTAAAGTTAATAATTCCCTTCCATTTTGTATATTTTTTAAATAAATTTTTTGATTTTGTATTTTTTGGGAAATTAATAATATTAGTTATTTAATATTATTGATATAATTATTGATATAATAAAACATAAAATCTCACCTATTTTTTATTTACTATATTTTATATTTTCTATTTACTATATTTTATATTTTTTATTTATTATATTTTTTACTTTTATTTACTATATTTTTTATTTTTTATTTACTTATTTTTGATTTTGATTTATTATATTTTTTATTTACTATACTATATTTTTGATTTTTGATTTACTATATTTTTAATTGTTTTTTACTATACTTTTGATTTTTGATTTATTTATTTGGGAAAAATAACAAAAATAAATAATCCATAAATAAATAACAATAAAAATAATTAATACATGATAACAATAAACATTCAACAAAAAATAATTATAAAACAATAACAAATAATAAAAAATATTAATAAAAATATTAAAAAATAATAATAGTGATAATTTTAATATCTCCAATAAATCTTCAAAATCAAAGGATAATGTGTATCAGGATCATAATTATTACTATCATTCAAATTATTTTCATGAATATTCCAAACTATATCATCATATTTAACTAATAATTCTATTTTTAAATCTTTCTCTAGACTTTCTATTAATTTAATAAAAGCATTAAGTGAATCACCTCGATTTGGAGCACATAAAATAAATAATCCTCCCCTTCCTCCATCTGAATAATAATTACTATTATTATTAGGTAAAGGTTTCTTAATTATTGATTTAAGAACATGAAGTAAATGTGGATGAGTTGATTTATCAAATGTGCTAACATAATCACACACATATAATATATTTTTATATAAGTATAATCAATTAATATAAAATTCCTTGAATTAAAGTGCCAATTAAAAATAAATTCTTATTTAGATTTAAAAAAATCAACTCACCAATCAGCACAAATTACTACATCATATGTATCATTGTATGCAGTATTCAAATCCCATAACATTTTCTTAATACTTATATCTACATTTGAGAATAGTACCGAATTCTTATTTAAAATATGTTGAATATGTATTTTATATATATATATATATATATAAGAATTAAGCATCAATACAATATCTAAATAAATATATAGATAGATCTAATATATTTAAACATTTTTAATATTTTTTTTAAAAAGGATATTTTCGATACAATTTGGATTTCCATCAGTCAATGTAACATTTTTAGGATTACATTTGGCAGCTATTATTAAACCTGCTAATGAACACATTCCACCACCTATTTCACAAATTGATTTATTGCTTATTCAAACAAAATTAAAATTAAAAAATCATAATTATTATTAATATTAATTGATTATTAATTAATTATTAATTAATTGTTATATTATAAATTATATAAAAATATAAAAATTTACCTAAATAATTCAGAATTTTTCATACAATAATAAGCCAACACTTCTTCAGCAGGCCAAATACAAATATTCCCTGTATTTAGAAATCCAGAATATTCAGATGAAAATGAATCCTTGAGTGTTTGCATTTGTGGAATTTTTATACTAATCAAAAAAATCAAAAAAATAAAATCATACAGCATACATATAAAAAGATTTTTAAAAAGCATAATGGTTTTTTTTTTTTGATAATAATTTTTTTTTTCATAATTTTTTTTACCAAATATCCAAATAAACACCATCTTTTAAATCGTATTTAAACCATTCTTCATTTTCATCAAATCCTTGCTTGGGAAATAGATTAAATCCTTGATGAGATCTTTTTGAAATTTGTGAATTTGTTAATTGTAATGATGATAATGAAGAAGGTGGTGGTAATGAAGATGATGATGTCAATGAAGATGATAGTGATGAAGTGTCATCAGAATTATTTTTAGAAATAAATATTGAAGAAAGTAATTTCCATCTTGCTTTTGCTATTGTTGAAGGATTTCGATTATTATTGTTGTTAAAATTAGATGTTATTGAAGACATGTTCAAACAAGAAATACAGTTTTTTTTATTCTTTTTATATTTGTGTTGTGTAACATTGTCAATCAAACATAAATAATTGATTTTCACCACTTCAAAAATTTATTATATAATAACAATTAAAAAAATGATATGAATGTATAATTAATAAAAATAATACAATTAATAAACTAAATTATTACTATAAATCATTTTTAATAATTTGAAATACTTCATAATCCTCTGCATAAAATGGTGTATTTGATTCTCTAATTTCTCTTTCATAACAATTTTTCTCACATGAATTTAATGAAATTTGCAATTGCTATTTACTGTTGACCATTCTTAAATCTTGTTTTATCTTTCTTCCATTTCTTCCAAAACTTGGTCCATAATCTTTATGCTGATATATAGCATGACATGAATCTTGAACTCGACTTAAAATAATTTTTTCTTCTTCAAAAATAAAACTATCTTTTGTACGTGCATTAACCTCAGGTTTGTAAGATGAATCTCAAAATAGTGAATTATACCCACCAAGAATTTCTTGAGATCCAAGAACTTTAATTATCGTAAGAGTTGGACCTTTATTATCACATCTTCTATGAAACGTCCTTGTTAAAAATTCACGAATAGAAGCTCTCAATAATAATTTTAATTTATAGGAATCTTTTGTATCATTAGCAATCCAAGAAGAAATCAATGAAATATGTTTTTGATTAATTAAAATAGATGGAGAGGGGACTGGTTTTTGATTAATTAAAATAGATCGAGAAGGGTCTGATCCTAATTCTATCCGTTGCCTTTTTGCTCGTTCTAATTTTTTTCGTATTCTTTTTCGTTTGTTAGATGTAGAGGGGGATTTTTTATGTGAAGAGGGGATTCTTTAAGTAAAGAGGGGAATTCTTTATCTGAATAGAGGGATTCTTTTTCCTCTAAAAATGAAAATGAACAACTTGATACTGAAGAACTCGATGCAGAATAAGGTGTAGTACTTATATTTCCTGATAATTTTAAATTATCATCTCAAGATAATATAAGACAATTCTCTTGAAATTTAGGAAGTACAATATATTCTAACACATCCATAGAAATTTCGTCTTCAAAAAGTTGTCTATATGGTATAACTTTGTCACAATAATATTTATGTTGAAACTTTCTGAAATCAATAAATCTGATAAATTCTCTTATAATCCTTCCTAAATTTTCTACATATTTCGAATAATCCCGAGAATTTGACATGATCATTGATTGTTCAGTTCCCCATTTTAAAAGGTTTTCCCAAAATTCAGTTGAACTAAATGATTCATAATAATTTGAATAATAGTAATAAAGTTCATGACATTTGAATGACATAAAATCTACTGCCTGGAAAATTATTGATGGTTTTTTTTTTAAATAAGTCTAAATTTCTTATTTTTCTGAGCAATTCTTTGTACGCTGTTGAAGTTTTTAATTATTAACTCTTTTTTATGGATCAAATAATCTTGAATATAATCACATAGATCAATCAAACATAATTCATCGGAAAATTTTAAAATAGGCAAAAGAAGATCGATATCATAATTGTTAGTATATATTTTTCCAGTATATATATAGTGTGTTAAGAAAAAAATGGCAAAGATTTTCATGTGATTTATACCAGTATAACATGTTCCGTTTTGATTGGATCTTCGTACTATTTAATCACAACAAAGCCAACGCGAAGTTATTTTGTATCTGTGGAACGAGGGAGTACGCTCCGCCAAAGAAATACACACCAAAACAAACATCCCACTCAGGACAGTGTATAACAATATTAAAAAAAATAAAAAAAACCGGGACAGTAGACCATGCAGGAGGCAATGGTCGGTCAAAAAAAACTACTGAAAATGTTAGCCGAGCTATTGGTCAGTATATTCGCCATAACCCTTCTATTTCAACAAGAGCTATAGCAACGAAATTGGCAGGAATGGAGATCAATATCTCTCATGTCACTATTTCGAAGTACC